ACCGACCAATCACAGCTGACTTCCTGTGTGTTACATATGTTTCTTTGACTCCACATCGTCTCCAGATCATGTTTAACTTGGACCGAGTCCACATCATCCTGGACGAGATGATCCAGAACGGACACGTGGTCGAGACCAACAAGAGCCGCGTCCTCGCGCCGCTCACTGCTCTCGACAAGATGGGTGACTGAGGCGCGACAGGAAGTGATGTCACTGGGTGGATTTTATAATGTCAAGTGGATTTTCATAAAAGACTTGAAAGGAATCGAACCGGCAACTTTGTGACCTTTAAAGCTGCGGAAGTTTGATCCAATGCAAATGAATAAGGAGCAATACGTTGTGAATGAATCTGCTGCTTTATGACCCAAACGCATGGATGGGTTTCAAGGATTTATTTACTTATATTTTAATAAATAAGTTTATTAAAAAAAAAGTCAAGTTTTATTTTTATTTCATGGATTCGGGTGTTTCTCAAAGTCGAGGAAGCATGCTCCAGAGCCACTATTTCAAGGATGCTACGTCATCGAGTGCCGCCAAAGGACTGTTCCAATGTCCAGGATCCTTTGAATTCCGGCGTCCTTCGTTGCGGGAAATTTCGAGGCTGCACATGTGTATCCTCCGCGGTCTTAAAATCCCCACAATGCTTTGCGCACGGACCCATTTCCAAAATCTTTGGCGGAAAATGTAAGGCGGGGCCTCTCATGACGCACACCTGCTAGCCTGTTCCACTCTTCGTTCTGCGAATGCTAGGAAGGATTCTTGCCTCGCTTCTGAAGGACCACGGGTGTTTCTCAATGTCGAGGACGCTTCCTTGGTAGGACATGTCTTCCAAGTCACTTCCTTCAGAAGCGAGGCAAGAATCCTTCCTTTCATTCGGAAAACGAAGAGTGGAACAGGCGCTAAAACATGTTAGTTTCACGATACCGGTTTCCTCAATTTAGAAAAATACATACATTTAAAATGAATTATTTTCTGTTTATTCAGAATTGTTGAACAAAAACAAAATTACATTTGATGTAAATATTATATATATTTTCTAAATTATTCAGTTGTCTTTCATTCTCTCTACACATTTTTATTGTCACTTCTTTCTGCATTATAAGATTTCTAATATGTTGTGAATCAGATGCTAAATTCACATTAAGATCTAATTTTCATGTAACAAACCAGAGTATAAAATAAAGTTAGACATCAATAATAACTTAAAAAATCAAATGTTATTCTCAAATGTGACGGTGAGTAATTGCAGAACATAAGCACCTTCATAACTCCAGTCAGGACTCTAAAGACCAGAGGACTCTAAAGACCACAGGACTCTAAAGACCAGAGGACGCTAAAGACCAGAGGACTCTAAAGACCAGAGGACTCTAAAGACCACAGGACTCTAAAGACCACAGGACTCTAAAGACTAGAGGACTCTAAAGACCACAGGACTCTAAAGACCACAGGACTCTAAAGACCACAGGACTCTAAAGACCACAGGACTCTAAAGACCAGAGGACTCTAAAGACCACAGGACTCTAAAGACCAGAGGACTCTAAAGACCAGAGGACTCTAAAGACCAGAGGACTCTAAAGACCAGAGGACTCTAAAGACCACAGGACTCTAAAGACCAGAGGACTCTAAAGACCACAGGACTCTAAAGACCACAGGACTCTAAAGACCAGAGGACTCTAAAGACCAGAGGACTCTAAAGACCAGAGGACTCTAAAGACCAGAGGACTCTAAAGACCAGAGGACTCTAAAGACCACAGGACTCTAAAGACCAGAGGACTCTAAAGACCAGAGGACTCTAAAGACCAGAGGACTCTAAAGACCACAGGACTCTAAAGACCAGAGGACTCTAAAGACCACAGGACTCTAAAGACCAGAGGACTCTAAAGACCACAGGACTCTAAAGACCAGAGGACTCTAAAGACCACAGGACTCTTCGCATTTCCACTGCAGGGCCTCGCACGGCTTAGTACGGTATAGTTAGGCCTTGATAGGCCAGGCTCACTTTATGGCGCATTTCCATTACAGTTTAGGAACTGGGGCAGTAACTATGGTAACGCAGTGTAGGCGGAGCCGTGACGTGATCTTCAATGAGAACCCCAGAACCAACATCAGCCGTTAGCTGTTAGCACTCAGAGCTCACAGCTCCTCATATCTGTTCAGAAACTAGACAAAAGTTAAACAAGTACAAACCACAGACTGCCTGTGTCATGGAGAATACAGTCGCTGCTTTATTTATGTCTGTATAGGCCGTTGTTGTGAGTGTGGACGGTCGGAGCATATACTGCGTTAGCTTAGCCAATCTCCATTTAGAAAACACGCATTTTAAAAGGTGTTTCTCCTGCCGTCTGTCTGCAGACTTGACAAAGCATTAATTCATGGTTTTTACTAACCGGTATCAGTATGTTGTTACTTCATCATTTAGAAACGTGTGTTACAATTCAATCACAAATATGTCCATCTTGTTGTAGTTGTAGCCCCCTTGCCAGCGCTCCTCTCTCTAGTTTAGCATACTCAGCCCGACTCAGCCGGTTGTTGGCCTGGAAAGAACCTCGATTTTGGAGAGCCAGAAAAACTGTGAAATAGTACCCGTTAGCCGGAACTACGCCAAGTGGAAACGCAACAAAAAACGGGCCGGGCACGGCACGGCACGGCACGCTTAAAGCGGCTCCGCGCTGTAGTGGAAATGCGCCACGTGCTAACTCCAGTCAGTACCCTAAAGACCACAGGACTCTTTGTTAACTTCATACTTTGCAAACATTTTAATGATTATTTTTTTTGGAGCATACACATTTGAAAATATCTGTTTACCTCAAACTGCAACTTGAGTTAAATAAATGTTTATAATAATATACAAAGAAAATACAAGAGGGAGAGCAGAGCTTTTTCTCTTTAGATGTGCCGCGCACACAACCAGTGTTTTTGTCTCTATAGCTTCATTAAAGTAAAAGAAACACCAAATGCACTCTGACCTTTGACCTCTACAGCCGGTCAGGAACAACCCAAAAAACTGTCGCACACACGGGAACAAGAAAGCAATAAAATAAAAATAAAAAGAGGGGAAGAAGAAGCATGATTGAAGGAGGAGGAGGAGGAGGAACAGAAGCTACGAGTCAAACCAGGCACTAAACTGAGGACACACACACACACACACACACACACACACACACACACACACACACACACACACACACACACACACACACACACAACACACACACACACACACACACACACACACACACACACACACACACACACACACACACAGGTGAGGAGGAGGATGAAGAACACGAGGAGACAAGGGAAGGAGGTGAGGGGGAAAGGATGTGAACTTTTCTTTCTTTTTATTCTGCAACATAAATCCTCCTCCTCCTCCTCCTCCTCCTCCTCCTCGTCCTCCAGCTGTCAGTCAGTCAGTCGGCTGGTTTCCGATTGGCCGGCTGAGCTGTCAATCACGCGGCGGCGGCGGAGGAGGAGGGCGGGGCGGCGAGACGGACTTGAGGAGCATGCTCAGTGAGGCGAGGGGTCAGAGGTCAGTTGAGGTGGAAGCCTTTCTCCATGGTGGCGGCTAACAGGCGCTCCCGCATGATGTCCTCGGAGGAATATTCCGGAAGCTTTAGGTAGTGAACGCACGTGTTGACGGACGGGTAGCTCGAGTCCGTGGCGTCCACCTGTCAATCACAGGGAACACGAGTTAATGAGCAATATGTTCTATTTCGAACGTGTAACACAATAATACAAACACAATTATAATAATAATGAAATTAAACTATGAATGATGATACTGTTCAAGCTTAAGCAGTATTGACTTACAAATGATATATAAACAAATGATCGACCTAATTCCACACCCGAAAAGGGGTGGGAAGAAGTTCATTTAATCCCACCCCTTCTCCCAAAAACTAAATTATGAACATATCTTAGTTTTCAGACTGAAAACACAGTATTTTATTTTCCATTCAGAGAGCAGCCTACCTTTCTGACGATGGTGAGGCGGGGGTGCAGGTTGGCCAGGCCTCCGGGGGGCAGCGTGGAGCAGCCGGTGGTGAACTGGAGGAACGCTTTCCTCTCGTCAGACGACATCCCGCACAAAACTCTGACGAACCGCACGAAACCGGGACTGAAGAGGAAACAGTTTACATTAGACAGAGAAACACTGAAACTCTGATACATGAAGGTCTGTCCGTGGTTATCAAAAGCTGAGTTCATGTATTGTTTCTACGACATAGAAATACGTCAGTAAATACCCCACTGGTGAATGTCTCAAGCTTCTATGTGTCTTAAAATGGAGGTTGCCATCACTAAACGTCATCAAGCCCAACATTAGCCACCTTTAGCTTAGCGGTGGTAACGTGAAGTCATGTGACCGTGCTGTAGTTCCTTTATAGCCCAACATTAGCCGCCTTTAGCTTAGCGGTGGTGACGTGAAGTCATGTGACCGTGCTGTAGTTCCTTTATAGCCCAACATTAGCCACCTTTAGCTTAGAGGTGGTGACGTGAAGTCATGTGACCTTGCTGTAGTTCCTTTATAGCCCAACATTAGCCACCTCTAGCTTAGAGGTGGTGACGTGAAGTCATGTGACCGTGCTGTAGTTCCTTTATAGCCCAACATTAGCCGCCTTTAGCTTAGCGGTGGTGACGTGAAGTCATGTGACCGTGCTGTAGTTACTTTATAGCCCAACATTAGCCACCTTTAGCTTAGAGGTGGTGACGTGAAGTCATGTGACCTTGCTGTAGTTCCTTTATAGCCCAACATTAGCCACCTTTAGCTTAGAGGTGGTGACGTGAAGTCATGTGACCTTGCTGTAGTTCCTTTATAGCCCAACATTAGCCACCTTTAGCTTAGAGGTGGTGACGTGAAGTCATGTGACCGTGCTGTAGTTCCTTTATAGCCCAACATTAGCCACCTCTAGCTTAGCGGTGGTGACGTGAAGTCATGTGACCGTGCTGTAGTTCCTTTATAGCCTAACACTAACTTCTTATTAAAGAACACACAAAGCTGTATTGGGTTTCTCTTTCTACCAACGGGACGCACCTGTCTCTGGTGTAACCCAGCTTTGGTTCTGTGTAGTTGACGATGTCTTCAGAAGTCCAGGACGGTGATTGGTTGCCGCAGAGGATCATCTGAACCTCCTTATGGCTGAAAGAGCTCAACTTCTCCATCGGGAACACTCGGTTAAATCCGTCTGAGGAGAAGAAGAAGAGAAAAGGGGGATTTCTCATTAAAACATTTACGAGGTATATCCTCCTGCTACATTGAGAGAGGGCTGATGAACAAAGGATGCCATCAGTTTGTAACGACAGTCTGGTGTGTTTACCTCTGAAGGCCTCCATCTGTTTCTGGATGCCGGTGTGCATACAGAAGTCAAACATCAACTCCACGTACTCCTCTGCGTTCTCCATCGTCACCATCTACACAGAAATACACACATTGAGTATCAACTTCACTCAAATCAGGACAACTTTCATCGTTTCACATTCACAGCCACAGAGGTAACGTCACAGCTCTGAGGCGTCAGGTTGTTTTTACCTCATCGTCTCCGTTTGGTTTGAGATCCACAGCTGAGAAACCGTGAACCTTCGAGGACGGACAGAACTGGAAATTCAACCTGAAGAGAAAAACAAAACAAGAGGAGAGTCAGGTCTGAGGAGCTCTAAAATGTCAGGAACTTGAAAATGTAACCTGTTGAGCCCTGAGCCTGTTTTTCAGGTCTCAGGCTCGAACATGACATGCCCAGAACAAATGACTATATCTTCCCTTCTAAAAGGGTTAAATTAATAATCTTTGTTCTCAAAGTATTGATAAACCTGTGAGTTGGATGTAGAAGAGTCAGAATCAATATAGATGTTTTTTATTTTAAAGTAAATTCAGATTGAACATAGTAACAAAATGTAAATTATAGTGTCCGTCCAAAAGTAAAACATTACAGATAGTGAAACCACCCCTGGATGATGGGTTAGTAGACTAAAAGCTTTAGGAATCCAAACTATAACATATAATAAGTACCCTGTATCAAGATTGAAGCAAAACAAGTGACATTTGACCTTTTTAGAGAGATTTAGCAAAGAAAAACACTTCTGGGGTCATTTGGGTGGATTTGCCGTTTCTCTGGTCGATTGTGATGATTGACATCTCTTTTGAACCGTTAGAGCCAATAGAATCGAAGGGGGAGTTCCACATACACACCAACGTTACCATTGAGAAGTGGGGGCTATACGCACGCAGTCGAAAGCTATCTTACGCTCTGAAATCTGAAAACTAGGTTTATTGCTGATGGATTATCAGAAATCATTTCAAAGTGACACAGACACATTGGATTCACCTGCAGCAGCGTTTTTATCGTTTAATGCCATTGAAGACAACTTTTGATCAGACAACAACAAAGGTAAGACATATTGCCGTGTTGGCTATCTAATGCTACGTGGTGTGATGTCTTTGTTAGCTTCTCGAGTCGCGAGTTCGGATCGGTCAGTGATGATACTAATACCTGTCGAATCTGTGCAATCTCAGCTTGCTAATCGATATCTTGTTTGTGCAGATACGATAAGTAATAAGGGTATTTTAACGTGAGTTCTGTGCTAAGTGTGTTAGCATTTTTTCGCTCAGGGCTAATTCAGAGCCTTTGTTATTACCCTTATGTTTCGTTTAGCTACAAATTGTTAATATTGTCTGATAGCTGAGTTTCTTCCCGTTAAGTGGATATGACACATGAATAGGTTTTTAAATGTTAAGAAGCCCTGAGAAAAAAACCCGCAGCCCACTGTACCGGGGGCTCTCGGGCATAACAGGTTAAAGGAGGTATAACAATTTTAGATAATGCATTGTTTCCAAGCCTTTTCGTAACTGGCTCCTACTACCAGCTGCAGATCAGTGAAAAGGACCCTGATGGGTTTCCTGGAGCTTTCGGTGATAACTAATCTTCCTGTAAAATGTAATAAACTGCCCATTCTGATTTATATTCAGGGCTTTCATAAATGTTTCATATCCCATTATGACTTGTTAAGTGTGTGAGTTTTACCCGAGGTCCTCGATGCAGAGGGGGGGTCCGGAGCCCAGCGGGTTCCTCAGCATCAGGTCCTGCAGTCTGGTGTTCTTCTCATCTTCAGACAAACTCTTACTGGACAGAATCTGCCTCCTCTTCACCGCCAGCTCCTTCACCTCCTTCAGGAACTTTGCCCTGTGGGAGGAAGAGGAGGAGAAGAGGGGGAGGAGGAGGGGGAGGAGGAGAAGAGGGAGGGAGGTTGGGATGGATTTAGAGTAGCAGAGAAAAGGGAAGATGGAGGAGAGGAAATAAATGAGACATGATAATGTGTTACATCTTTATAAACTGGTTTTTAATGACTCATTATTGCCAAAGAAAACAGAGAATCTGAAACACAAGCTCCACTGTTCATTGGTGGACATTAAAAAGACACGCCCCCTTCCTATTTGTAGTCTTTTCTCTTCCTGGTTGTTATGCGTCTCTTTTGGAGCTTTTCCACTGCAGCACGGTTTTTGGTTGCGTTTCCACTCGGCGTAGTTCCGGCTAACGGGTACTTTTTCACAGTTTTTCTGGCTCTCCAAAATCGAGGTTCTTTCCAGGCCAACAACGAGGCTGAGTCGGGCTGAGTATGCTAAACTAGAGAGAGGAGCGCTGGCAAGGGGGCTACAACTACAACAAGATGGACATATTTGTGATTTAATTGTAATACACGTTTCTAAATGATGAAGTAACAACATACTGATACCGGTTAGTAAAAACCATGAATTAATGCTTTGACAAGTCTGCAGACAGACGGCAGGCGAAACACCTTTTAAAATGCGTGTTTTCTAAATGGAGATTGGCTAAGCTAACGCAGTATATGCTCCGACCGTCCACACTCAGAACAACGGCCTACAGACATAAATAAAGCAGCGACTGTATTCTCCATGACACAGGCAGTCTGTGGTTTGTACTTGTTTAACTTTTGTCTAGTTTCTGAACAGATATGAGGAGCTGTGAGCTCTGAGTGCTAACAGCTAACGGCTGATGTTGGTTTTGTGTTTCGCATTGAAGATGACGTCACGGCAGTTTTACGCAGCGTCGCTCCGCCCGCCGAACAGCCGATCGCCCCGCCTACACTGCGTTACTATAGTTACTGCCCCAGCTACTAAACTGTAATGGAAACGCAGCATAAAGTGAGCCTGGCCTACCAAGGCCTAACTATACCGTACTAAGCCGTGCGAGGCCCTGCAGTGGAAATGCGCTATTAGAGTGACAACCTGTAGAGTTTGAGTTAGAGAGCAAATACACTTCCATGGCTCTTTTAAAAAAAATAAAAAAATCCATAAAACTGAATAAATCAATCAAAGCGTTCTCACCTGTGCGGGTTGACCAGCTGGAAGTCGTCCCAGGTGAGGATGCCGTGGTACCAGGCGGGGGGTTTGGGTTTGGGGGGGTCCATGATGAACTCTGACTTGGAGTCTTCATCAAAGCTTCCCACAGAGTACGTCTCCTGACTCTCTTCAGTTGACGCCTCTGACTGCATCTCAGACAGCAGCAGGAAGGGATGCGTGTGGGGGGGTCCGTTAGGGTCGTGGCCCCTGCTCTGATACAGCAGCTTACTCATGTTGGACTTGATGTCCCCCATGCAGAGCAGCTTGAAGAAGGGCTGAGAGACGGGAAGGTCCACCAGACGGTTGTCCTGGATGCACTTGGCCAGGAACACGCCCAGGAAGTGGAAGAGCTTTGTGATTCGCTCCAGTTCCTCACTGTCCTGAGGGAAGGGCGCCGCGAACAGCCCGCAGGATCGCTGCACGTAGTAACCGGGGGGCTTCAGACCGCCGCCCAGATCCACCTGAGACACAGACAGAGGGTCAGTTCATGTGAAATAACACCTCTTATGTGCAATATATACTATTCAATGTTTATTTATATAGCCCAATATCACAAAACACGTTTGTCTCGGTGTTCTTTACAGATTAACAAACTAAAAGATTAATCAAACGACAGGGAAATAATGAAAAGACAAGATAAGAGTGCTGCTACCTCATTATATTTATACGTTCACTTCATTTTATGAATCAAACTTTATTTCTATAGCACTTTTCATTCAGAAAACGCCAGACGAAGTGCTTCAAAAACCCCCAAAACGATACACAAAGATATAAAAACGATGCTAGCCCCTGACAGGAACACGTGACCCACCTGTCGGGACTCGTCGTCGGGGAAGTCGTCGTCACAGAGCCACATCCCCAGAGAGGTTCTCTGAAACTCTGCGGCCACCAGAGCATAAAACTCCAGAGTGGGACCCAGGCCCGTCCCCTCCTCACCCAGAAACTCCACCTGCACACAATTACACCCAAATGATTAATACACACGGCTTCATTTTGAGTGTTAGTGTCGCTTTAAAGAAAGTATTTTACATTTTTCCTTAAGGTTAAGTTAAGTGTGTGTTATGTTCATGGATGTATAATATGAACTGGATACAGCGTTGGAGGCGGGGTCTCGTTCTTTCCTATGAGAGCTGCTGATTGGCTCATGAGGACAAAATGGCCTGAGAACTACCCATCATGCCTGGCTGTCAGAGCAGAAGTACCCGTATGTAGCTCATAGAGCAGAGTTGAGTTTCCCCTTAAGCTCCGCCTCCTGTCATTAAGCCCCGCCCCTAATCTCCTGCTTTCGGCTCAGTAGAATGAATGGAGAGAGAAAATAAATCTGGATTCAGTTTTTAGTGCATTTTACAACTTTAAGGACCTAATGATTATAATAAGGGATATAAAATAGTTCATGCTGGGAAGTTTATTTGGTTTAAAAAAATTATCCTCTGATTTACAGACGTCTCTTTCCTAATGTTAGTCAATGGGGAAAAGTCTTTCTGGGCCGGGTGACGCCACGGACTGATATGGAAATTGTAGTACCGCCGTTTGGCCACTAGGAATATTTTCCTCAGAGTCTGGAGCACTTCCTGGGGGCTTGGTTCAACCGATCTGAAGCACCTTTGAGGTTAAGTTCTGTGTGTGTGATGTGTCTCCGTCTCACCTCCAGCACGGACTTCCTGTCTGCGTGCAGCTGCATGACAGACTCCGCCCACTCCATCATGGCTTCTCCTCGGGGCACTTTGACTCGCTCGTGTTTGAGCCGACCGACCCTGAACTCCCCGGGGTCGTCACGCCGCACCGTGGTCGACGGCCGCGAGCGCTCCATGGTCGCCTCGCGCCGGTTCTGCAGCCACACGATCGCCCTGCAGACATATGATGGGGTCAGAGGTCAGATACTGAAACACTCTCTAGTGCTGGAATTAATGCACTGTCAAAAATAAAAGATTGGTTTGTTTTTCCAAGTATCCCATCACTTTATATTTCCTTTTCTTAAAGGTCACCTATCAGGCTATGTTTAGGCAATAGCATAGGTCTCAGATATATAAAAATATATAAGAAACATGTCTATGAAGTGTTTTGCTCCAAACACCAAACAGATCATTCTAGCCATGCCTCATATCCCTCTATTTCACTTCCTGTTTCTAAAGTGCTGATTTGGGGTAAAAAGCTTTAAAAAGGAGGGGTCTGAGCTCATGGGGGACCCGGCAGCTACTGTCTAAACTAAATGCTGCCGTGATGAAACTCCATATCATGGATTATCAAGGATTCTCTCTGAAACAGTATGGAGCTCAAAGGCTTTCTCTCTTGCCGGTTATACCACAAGGTGAGTTCCTTTTATTTCCTGCTTCTTCACACACATGCTCTCCAGTACAGGTTAGCTCTGAGTGTTAGCCATGCTAATGTAAACACCGACCATATTACGTCCAAAACAGTCGGGCATTGTTTCTGATAGCAACGTTTCTGATAGGGCCGTGGGTCCACATTTCAGATATTACGTCATATCGGACGCAAATCTGGATCAGCTCCGTTGTTCCCCGGTTTTTAGAGATTTGGGTACGGAGGAAAAGAGAGAGGGTTTTGTTTCCTGACGCTGCGTGAGTTCCCTGACACACCGGGGACACACCGGGGACACACCGGGGACACACCGGGGACACACCGGGACACATGTTGATGTAGAGAAGACATCACAAAGTGACTTTTGCATGATAGGTCCCCTTTAAAATAATGGTCACCACACATTTAAATTCTGCTTGGTTTTTATCATCATTTCATTATTTTTGTATGAACGTCCATGTCATTTGCACTTAAATCTCCTCTAAGAGTTTGTTCTTTTATCAGAAATGTATATTCTTCATATGGGAACACCACATGTGTAAGCAATTTATTTGCACTTTGCAGATTATCAAGTCTTTATAGTTTGTTTTACTCTAATGTTTTTCCTTTTTGGCGAGCTTTACAGGTTTCACCAAAACGATTTTCTACTTAATTGTTCTTGCATTTATCGATTTTTCGCTCTGATGTATCCACTGATTTGTTTCTAAATCTTATTGTGAGTTTGGTAGTGAGGAGGTGTTCTGGATGTTTCCTGCAGACTCACCTGGACGCTCCGAACGCTGTGCAGGTGAAGTAGAGCTGTCGGGTCTCGAAGGGAATAAGGAAAGGACACTTGGAGGTGAGCTGCTCACACCACTCAGGCAGAGCGCTGCTGGCCAGAGCAAGAGGCTCCTGGGGAACAAAGAAAACACATTCAGCACAAAGTCCTGCAACCTTCACACACCAGGGTGTTCATATTCACGATCAATGTTCATGCAACCACACTGACACAAGTCACCACGGATTAAAATGTCTATATATATATATATATATATAGACATATATATATATATATATATATATATATATATATATATATATAGACATATATATATAGACATATATATATATATAGACATATATATATATATAGACATTTTAATCCGTGGTGACTTGTGTCAGTGTGGTTGCATGAACATTGATCGTGAATATGAACACCCTATACATATATATATATATATATATATATATATATATATATATACATATATATATATATATATATATATATATATATATATATATATATATATATATATATATGTCTATATATATATGTCTATATATATATATATATGTATATATATAAGAAGTGTTTTGAGAACAGACCTCGATTTGTTGCAGGATCTTGGTTGTGATCTTCTTGCTGGTGAATTCCTCTGGAGACGCGTTGAACTGCACCTCTTCGAACTCTGAACAAAGATAAGAAATCAAATTGAGTTCTCACACTGATACAAATACAGACATTTTGTAAAGTATTTAGACATGTGTATACAAGGACTGCCCACAGTATTGAGTTTATGCAAGTCGCTTTGGGTAAAAGCGTCTAACAAGTGACAGGTTATACATTTGGGTGGTTTTGTCGTGTTTCCACGTCAATATTTAGATTATTTTGTTTATTGTTATATAATAAATAACTCAATAACTCAATCAATCACCTACTCTATGTGCAAAGACCTGCGTCCAATCAGCGCGGTGGAAAATGAAGGCTTTGGTCACATGTTAAATACACTGGAACCCAATATGTCATGCAATCATATATATGGGCAATATATCGCAGTATATCATA